GGGGCGTGTCTGGTACGGGGGCGGGAGGGAGCTGCCTCTCCGCTCTGATGTCATCCAGAGAGCAACAGCGTGCGGGTAGGTGGACGGGCGAGGGGGCGGGCGGGAGCTGCGGCCGGTCTTCACATGTGAAATTGAATTACATGTGCAGCTACCCCGAAGGTAAGACCTAGCGCCATCTTCAGGGATGTCTGTAATATAAGACCTACCACCGAACTAGGTCTTATTTTCGGGGTACGTCTTATATTACAGAAATCCCAGAAGATAGCGCTAGGTCTTATTTTCGGGGTAGGTCTTACTTTCGGGGAAACACGTTATTAATAAAGATTTAATTTTTCTGTTTATTGTCGGTATTACAAATAAATAAATAAATAATGCTGTGGAAGGAAATAAAATAAGTTGGTTTAGTAAAATTAAATAATATTTATTTTTTCTCGGTGTGTACATAATAATATATATTTACTTCTATTTTAAACACCTTTTAGGGCCCATTCACACCAATTGCGGTGCGTTCCAGAGTGGTAGATGCTGGAAGGCACCACAATCGCTCACAAAACTTCCCGCTTCATTCTGGGGCGGGAGGGGGCGTGGTGGTGCATTGAAGTCAATGGCACCGCAGCCACACACCCGCCCAAACTGTGATTAGACACGTGGCAAAACATTGCCTGCGTTTCTGTTCAGTGCGTACGCAAAAAAAAAGTTGCATGCTCTATTTTTTGCATTCGCAGTGGATTGGAACATAGGCAATGTTATGCCATGCGTCCGATCGCACTGCAGGCGGGGGCATGTTGGCGGTGCCATTGACTTTGATGCCCTGCAAAGCCCCCTCCCGCCCCAGAACGAAGGGGGAAGTTATGTGAGCGATTGCTGTCGGCAATTGTGCATAATGGCAATCGTACAGCACGATCGGCAGTGGTGGACAATTCCGTGACCGTTCGGTCATCTGTGCTGTTGCAGAATCGCCCACCACTGCTGATCGCGCTGCCGGTGCCATTATTTTGTAATGGCACCCCAGTCACCCTGGTCAAGTCGTGCAGTTTTCCGCCGCAATACAGCCCATGCAATACAATCGTGGCTAAAAAAAGCAGCGCCTCATGTGTCGCAAAAAAAGGTACATGTGCCTTTTTTTAGTGATTGCTGTGCTTTCTATCATTTAGCTCACTTTCCAAATTGCCGATATTGGTCTAATTTTTTTAATTCTCCTACCTATTCCCCTGCAATTCACATTTTAGTGAATAGGCCTGCTATTTTGAAAATAATTTGAATAAGGGTGGAGCACAAGGGGGGCCCCATAATCTCGTATTGCCCAGGGGCCCCATGTGTTGTCAGTCCGCCCCTGCTGGCACAATATCTACAAAAAGGCCTTCTATACTTCTGAAAGCTTTTTAATGAGCTCCTGAAGCATCATCTTTAGAACATATTTTTGTATTAGAGGGGGGCCTTCTGTCAAGGATCCTGGGGCAATTAAACCCTCTTTCCCCCTTGGTTGCATTCCCATGATGCCGTTGCCATGCCATTGGAAATGGAGTACAACACTAACACATATATGCAATGTTTCCGAGCAGTAAAATGAATTTCCAAAACACGTAGGTTTGAATTGTTCTTTAATATGAGATTTTAGTGATTGGGTTTCAGTCTCCTGTAATATATATAGTCACCTGACACCCCAGCAGGTAACCATGACTGAGACCACAGGACACCCGGGCACATCTCCCAGAACTCGCTAGTAATGGGCCGAGCCGCAGACAATCGCCCCGCCCCGTGACGTCAGCCCAACTCAATGCCCGTTTATGGTAAGTGAGCTGTGCAGCAGAAACCGGCTCATTATCCGAGAAGCCGGGAACACGAAAGGGGTCCAGTATTTTACATTGCAATGGCCGGACACTGCGGGAGAAGTTCATCCGTATTACTACGGGCTCTGCTGGAGACCGAGAGCCGGCCATGCCAGGCTGTTATCAGGAGAGTGCAGAAGCAGCACGGAGTCAGGTGAGCGGGGGATGGAGTACAAAGAGTGTGCAATGTAACCTGGCAGCAGGTGATGTGATGACAGTCTGGCCGGAGATCAGGAGAATGGATGGCGGTGCTTGTTCTGTGCCTGTTATCACCTGAGCCCGGATGACACTTAGTGTGCTGTGTATGATCGGTGTTGGTAGACATTGTACCTGTGTATGGTGTCTGATCAATAGCATAGAACCAGTGTGTAGTGATAATCCGTGGCATGGCACAGGTGTAGAGTGTCGGCCTGATCAGTGGCATTGCACAAGTGTGGCGTGTCTGATTGGTGTTAATGGGCACAGTACCGGTGTATAGTGACGATCAATGCCATAGTACCGGTGTATAGTGCTGTCTCTGATCAGTGTTGTATTAGTACTTGCACTTCTCATGCATTCTCTTATCCTATATACAAGTAACTGTGAAATATTCTGAATAGAGGTTTTCCATGGTGCTGATCCACTCCTTCCAAAACTAAACAGGTTGCCTAGAGATCCTCCTTTTTTAATTCTGTAATGGTATTGAATTTCTATAACATTATCTGTAAAATATAAGATTGAACATTCATTCAAAATCATTCATCAGAACATTTGATGTTGCCATCATTGAGTCAACTCATTTCATTCAAAAGTTCTTAATGTCATCCAGAGCGGCTACTCGAATGGCAACCCAGACTCGCATGCAAGGAAATCAAACGAACGTTCCAAAAATGAGAATGCTGGAATGAGATTCTGCTGGTATTGGCCAGCCTTACAACGTTAAGATGCCATCTTGCTGACCATTGCCATTCTTTCACTATTGACCGTCTCAAATGTGTCAGTTCACTTCCTTTCTAGTTAGACTTGTGTCTCAGTAACTTGAATATTATTTTAAACTCCCAGGACATTGTTAACCTCTTGCCTCTTACTGATGTCTGTCGGCGTCTTGGCGCCCTAATCATTACCACTCAGAGGTGCCTGTGATCTGAGAAAGTTCACATAACTTGCATATTTGTCCTCTTCCCCTCCTATAGGGAGTCGTGTGTCTTCTAGAGCTCTTCTTACGCTTGATAAAGTTCCCCAGACCTGTCCTAGCTAGCTTGTCCAGTCTTGTACAATCCGGGGGACATTAGCATGCCTGGGACTACCCCTTCCCAGCATTTGATTGTAATATGACTTTCTTTTGTTCAGCTTTCCAGTAAAGTCTCAGTTCTGGCCCTTATGTTGGGGAAAGGTGTTCTTCTGGTGGGTGTCATAAGCCTATTCACAGTTTACTTTCCTCCAGATAATGCATTTCAGAAGATAAAGCTGGAGGGAGGGATCATTGCAGCGTATTCTTAGAACTCCCACTGGCCTCTTGTATTTTTTTTAAACTTGTGACTCTCATGTGATTTTCAGAGGCTCTCCGCAGGGGAAACTTTTCCAAAACTTCAGAAGTCTGCTGCCCAAGAATGTTCCAAATGAATCGTGTCCTACAGAAATGGCCCCTTAGAAACCAGAAAATTGCAGTATGAGCGTTTCCATTCTGTTAAAACCTTGCGCCAGTCACATTTTTTTATTTTTGAAGTTTCAGATAGAATGGGGAAGAGTTAGAACCTTTGTCAGGTTTTTACTGCTGTCTATGTCCTCACTGGGGGGGAATTCTCCTTGATTTCTTCCACAGTCATGACTTTGTCCCAGGGATTGGAAGTTCAGAGCTGTAAATTTATTATGATCCTGTGGCCAGGTCATGGACATACACATATTTAAATATTCTTAACATGTAGCAAATGAGCTTTAAAAGAAGCCGTCTGTGACCTCTGTCTGTTCATGCTTGTGCTGTGGAGTAATTTATGCTCAACATTGATAGCAGAAGTCCTTCAAGTTCTCCCAGCAGCTTGTTTTAACTCTATTTGCCTCTTCTCAGATCTCATTGCTTAAGTTAGAGATTGGAAGGCTGCTTGGTCACTGCTGAGAGGGGGAGCAGGTTGATCTGAGCTGGCTTGGACAAGGACTTGGATGCTACTGCTATGAATTTTTTGGAGCCTTCAGCTAGATTTAGATCCACCTTTTTAAGGGGCAACGCACTTGACAGTTGATACAACTTTCCATCAGCCTTGAATGCTGTGGAGCATTTTATTCCGCACTATGAGCTGCTCAATTTTGTGTGATCGTTTTTGAAAGCCGATTAAACTTTCAAAATTGTTATAAGGCTAACATTATGGTAGAACTTTCAGGACATTGTAAGTGCCCAGCAACTGTAGCGGAGCAGTATGTAGCAACTAGTAAGCCGCTTATGATCCGTTTTCTGCTGCTTTTCAGTTTATGACATAGGCAACAGTTTTCATCCCTCTGGCTATGTGAGTGTCTGGGCTCCCTGCATGATAAAGGCCATATGTCACATAGAACCTTGCAGTGCCTGATCTTTTGTAGTATAATCTTACTTGCCATTTCCTGGAAGGGGTGTGTCCTTCTCTAAGGGGATGTGATGACTCATACTAGAAAAAGAGAACAATGCATTCTGTTAAGGGAAATGCCTTTTATACGTAATACATTTCCCATTCTGGCAGTCTCTAATTTTAACTCATTGATTGCTCGCCTTAGTACTTCATTCCATTCAGTATGACCGAACATTAACCTTTTTGTTTTTGGAAGGGGCTTTTTCTTGACAACCATAATATTTTTTTTTTTTATGATGGAGTTGATTGACAAAATCTAGTGGAAGTGAATATTGGTGATGGCTGTAGCACCCACCCTTATTCTAGATTTACCTTTTTTCTAGTGGGTTTGAAATGAGAAAAGATCTGTGTGCTGGTGTGATACCCATCTTCACATGTAGTAATGAATCGGCCTGCACAGGTAGAAGATGAAGATTCCTTATGAGTAGAGGTTCTACTTGCTCTCAGAGCTCACCATTGATGCTTTTATTTTTTTGTGGCTTTCTTCACAAGCTCAAGAACATTTTGGGTTTGTTTTGGGTCAATCAGTGATGAGCTCAAGATTTGGAGCGGTGATCCATAAAACATGAAACCAATCTGAGCCAAGATTCTGAACATCTAACCTGGAATTCATAAAGAGTGTCATGGATACTCTTTATAAATCTGTCTCCTGCACATGCAACAAATGGCACATCTTTGGACAGATTCATGTAACTGTATATGAATCTTTTGCAGAATTGCCTCAGAGTTTTGTCTATGACGCAATTTACTCCAGCATGGAAGAGGACAATTTTACCTCCACTTTTCTTATCACAATATGGCAGTATTTCTTAATGAACTTGTCGTAGTCAAAGTGCCAAAATGTAAAAGTATAAGAATTTGTCACACACACTTTAGAAATGGCAAGGAAACTGTTGCATGTCTTTCATGAATTTGGTGCTAGACTTTTTAATATGGCCATAATGCTGGAAAAGTGGTACAAATTGTTGCTTTATTGAATTGCCACCATAATGTTGTTTTTTTTTCCACGTGCTGCCTATTTTAGGTCCTAAAAATGACCAAACGGGTCAACACTACTTACCACCATGTTTCTTTAGAGACATTCTAAACATTTGTTGGTTGGTGAGCTGCCTTGATGGGTTTGCTGGTTTTGGTGATTGAAAGCTGGTTGAAAGGGGGGATGGTAGTAGATGGCATCCTGGATCATGTTTCCCTATACAAACTTGTCAGTCCTGGTTTGGAGTTGCAGGTGAATTGAGCCGCTGGCTGTGAACGAAATGACCTATGGTGTAAAGGAAATTCTATCCCTGCTAGAGCAGTATCTCAAGTATTTAGAAAAGCATTCTTTGCAATAAGCTATTATTTTTTTATAGATGTTTGAAGTTAATGATTATATTCTTATTCTGTTTCAGACATTTGAGTTCATGTGGGATTCTGGTTTCTCAATGCACTCGATTACCTCAACCTTCGCCCATGCTTGTACAGACACGGTCCTTCCTTAACCTTGCGTTACCAATCCTAGGAAATAAGCGTATGGACTACGCCGAGTCCAAAGTGCTAGGGTAAGTTAATGTGAATGATGGCTGATTGTTTTGTCATTCTACAGTGTACTAGAATGCACATGCTCTAAATTTTTTTTTTTTTTTTTCAAGAATATTTTCAGATATTCATATACATATGAACAGAGGTTTGAAAATTTGGAGATGGTCTAGCTGTGTGGCATTGAAGGATGTTGTAGAATATTATATAAGTAGATGTATTTACGTGCAGAATTTCAAAAGCAGTCCTCCTATGACCAGATTGTCCTGCCCACAATTTCAATATCTGATCATACTTCATTGTTTGCTGGAGATAGTTCCAGCCAATAAATTTATGTTCTTATCAGCCTATTATGTCTAAAACCTATATATTGATGTATCTTGGAAGCTGGCAAAAGACCAAAATCAGTTTATTTGCTATGTCTAATGGTAGTACACTTCTCTATAAGCTGTTGAAAGGCTGACTTGTGCAATGGTCTTGCTCTTCATCCAGGATATAAAAATGTTCTGTTTCTTGTAGGTATTCCATAGATCAGATGTTTGACATCGTTGCTAACGTGGAAGACTACAAGATGTTCGTGCCATGGTGCAACAGCTCTAAAATCCTCTCTAGTCGCAATGGGGTGACCCGGGCCGAGCTGGAGGTGGGCTTCCCACCCATCGTGGAACGATACGTTTCTGAAATCACAGTAGTACCCCAATATAAAGTTCGGGTAAGTCCTTCTACATTTGTATTTGAGAAAATAATAAAAGATGGACAAATTGAAAGAATCTAGCTTTCTGAGAAAGTTCTGTTAGAATACATTTCTGTTACTTTAGCAAGAGCTACAAATTTATTAAAACATTTCAGACTCTACTAGTTGATGTCAATAGCTAGGACTGTGACCTGGAGCCATTGTGTGTAACTTGGCAGTGTCCTGGTAGCATGTTGCATCACTGGCTCAGTGCCATGGGCTAGTATCGAGAGGTGAAGGGTTTTGTGTGACACAAGAATGAGATGTGTTCTGAACACACCTCTCTAGTCTGTTACATAGTCTGAACTTTGTACACTGTGGAAATGCTCCCTGTGTGCCATATATTTAGACCTTTACACATAGTGAATCAATTGTTTAACTTTGTCAGGTTTTCAGCTAAACTTTTTGAGATCTGGTAGAATGTATAATTTATATGTGGTTTAGCTAATGTGTATTTTATTTCTTTCTAACACAGGCTGTGTGTCATGAAGGGAAGCTTTTCAGCCATCTTGAGACGGTTTGGAGGTTTAGACCAGGACTTCCCGAGAGACCAAACACATGTACACTGGATTTCTATGTAAGTCCTAATTTTACTTCTAATGCACTGTAACTGGATATTGATGGAATTACACAGAAGTTGACTTATGGGATCAGTTTAATGGTATTACAATGGGCAGCAAGTTTGCAAATTTAAGGCAGCTCTTATGTTCAGTGAACATTCACAATAAACGAATATGTGGCTGTTGGTAATCTAAACCATTAAAGTTCTGCAGCAATAAGTAGTGCTATATATGAGAACTTCCTGATTTTAATAGATTCCTGGTCAAGTATTTTTTAGTTGTGGAATATAGATTGTTCAGTGGTGTGCTGTTTTATATCCTCCCACCCCTACGTCCCTACGGTACATTGCAATGACATAGGGGTAAGGATAGAACCACAACAAGATGCCAGGAAGCGTAGGCATCCAATACCACCAGAAGTGTCAAATGCCAGAGGGTCTAACGGCAGAGGAAGGGTAGGAGAGACAGGCTGCTGGGGAAGCGAGGATAATGGCTCTTCCTTTTGAGGGGGTAGGGGGATTTTGGTGGGGGGAGTCCATTGTTTTTACAGCCTGACAAGGTCAAGTTATTTGCATACATAGTTTATACTTCATATAATATGGCACACAACTACTGCAATCACTAACAACTTTTCTGTTTCACACATACAGGTGTCATTTGAATTCAAGTCTTTGCTTCACTCTCACTTAGCCACAGTTTTTTTCGACGAGGTGGCTAAACAGATGGTGACAGCCTTCGAAAACCAAGCTGCCAAAGCATATGGACGTCAGACCATCCCATTGCAGTCCAAAAAGCTTCGAGCTGTGCAGTAATCACTCATGAACTTTATAAACTATCTTCTGTCCTATGGATCAGAATTATGAATATATATATATATATTTACTAAAATGGAACACATCAAGACTTTGCACATACCTCCCTTCATTTATTTATATGTATTTAAAAGGGATGCCCTAAAATTAACTTATTTAAAAACAGAGAAATCTATTTAAAAATTTGCAATTTTTGATTAATGTGTGTATATAAAAGATAAATTTATACTGTATAGTATACTAATGTATACTTCTGGAACTCCTATTTATATTTATTTTGTGACTGTAATATATTCTTACTGCCTTTTCAAGTACTTATCTGAATGTATGTATATGATGTTTTAGAGAATTCTAATTTTATATTCTAAAATTAAAATATTTAAGCTGGTTCCTGTTTGTGTGTCTCAGTAGTTGACCAAGTTATATACTTTGTACAGCAACCCATGTTCTGTACCCTTTTTTTTTTTTTTTTTTTAAATTTCTCACTTCTTTTTTGAAAATTAGTTTCCTAAATCTAGATTTTTGGATAGGTCCGTACGCTGTTACAGGAACATGTGTAGAAGAGTCTATTATGACTTTGGCATTCTGGTGTGTTGCTTTAACCTGTGTTCCATTAAGTCAGTCCACTCAAAAGAATATGCTACTAACACCCGAGAATGGACATGCAGCATCTATTCCACTGCAGCGCACGTGATCACACAGCGGTGTATTTATCATAAATTGTGCTGCGCTGCAACTCCTATGTTGTGGGTTTGATCCCTTAGTGCATTGTGGTGCCATTTGAGGTTACTGTAACACATTGCAACAGGTAAATGTACATGGGCCCTAAAAATTCTGTTTATCAAAGTATTTTAGGTACCAGTGGATGCATTCATAGTAATCCCAAATGGCACCCCAATGCACTAAGGCAACACATCTACAAAACACCTGCAACGTAATAAAAAAAAAGGTACCTTTTGGAAATGCACACTGGGAAATACAGCCTGCTAGCTCACAGCGTCAGCCTTTAATCCAGGGATGGCTGAACTGCTACAGGTTATTCCATTGCACAAAACAGTTTTTGAGGGGTTTTTTAAGTTACTAATGGGTGCAATCACCCACTGCCTTATTATTATTTATTATTATTATTATTAATATATAAATATATTAGGGATGTCCCGCTACCACTTTTTCAAGACCAAGTACTGTCCCTCATGTACTTGCCGATACCAATTACCGATACTTTTTCTTAAAGGGACAGGTGACATTTTTCTAAAATAATACAGACTAATGATTTTAGGGCAGTTTCTCAACAGTGCTGAGTGCATTGGAGGTGACAGGATCTCTTTTAAGGTGACATTAGGGGTCTTTTAGACCTCCTAGTGTCACCTTTCTACTTCACTGAATGTAAATACAGCAGGCAGTGGCTGGGAGCAATAGCCAGCCTGCTATTGGATATTTTAAATTGCAATAGCAGGCTGGCTATTGTACCCGCTTGCTGTCAATCGGCAAAGGAGGGAACTGAAGACAAAGTTCTCAATCAGGTCCTCTCTGCTGATTGACAGCAGGCAATGGGCTGGTACAATAGCCAGCCTGCTATTGGCTATTGCAATTTAAAATATCCAATAGCAGGCTGGCTATTGTTACAAGTGCCCATTCCTTTTGCACTTGATGAAACTGTTTGCTTTTGGTGATATATCTCAGTGTCAGATGTCCGTGCTTCTTATGTGTTTAATAATAATGCCCTCATAAGACGTACCCAGAAGTTTTCCCTCTCAATGAAAGAGAAAGTCCGTCCTGTGTGAAGGCAAGATTTACAGCTTCTCTCCTCCCCGTGAGCACACTGAACGGACATTCTCTTCTTTCATTGAGAGTGAAAACTGCTGTGTACGTCGGGTGAATGCATTACACATAAGGATCACGGACATCTCCCACATTGTGATTATATCACCAAAAGGAAACGGCTTCATCAAGTTGAAAAGGACGGAGGAGCAGCAGCAGCTAAGGTACAGGGGGGGGGGGGGAATCCA